CCCCTTGCGCTTCAGCCCCTCTAATGCCAGAGGTCGGTGCTCACAGAAAAGGACAAAATATGGACAAATGAAGGAACAGACTGGAGCACTCGAATCCCTTGCATCAGTTTATTGAAATGCCAAGACTAACGTTTCGACGCACAGCGTCTTCTGGTTTGACTCTGAGGAAGACGCTGTGTGTCGAAACGTGAGTCTTGGCATCTCAATAAACTGATGCAAGTGGTTTGCGTGCTCCAGTCTGTTCCTTCATTTGGAAAGAATATGTGTATTTTGTTGAGAAAAAATCGGAAACAACTTCCATAATTTGGTTTGAATATGATTTTTATTTATTTCTTTTTTCACTTAGTAGTTGACATTTTGTGCAGATTGAAATGTGAGATTTTGGTGAACTGCTGTTACTCCAGATTACTAACAATTGCATGTCAGTGTACCAGTGTTTTACTTAAAGCAAAAGAAAAAAAAGAAAAAAGGTAGATATTACTCTGGCATTAATGTAGGAATTTCCATTAGAATTGGTATTTTGAGGTGGACATAAAAGGAGAAAATTCAAGTGGGGACCATAATACTTCTGTTATTCAAAATGTTTGTAGAATTTAGTGGTCCCAAACCATACTGTATACTCTGTAGTAAAAGTGTATTGAATAAAGAGAGAATGTATGGGTGAATCATCAAATAAACAGCCATCAAAGTATGTACTTGGCAATCGGACAAAACTAAACGGGGGCGTGTCTGAGGGCCTGTAATGGTTAAAATTGAGAAAGTTTGTGAAAAATGGCACTTGCATACAGCAATGCATGTATTCCAATTCAGGATATCTGCATTTGAAGAGACTCCATGTTGGAAATATTAAATAATAAATATTTAATAAATATTAAATCAAAGTTGATACTGTGCAATGTGCAAATGCAGACAATTGAATGGGAGAGGGTATGTTTGAGGGCAAATAATTCCTGCAAATCAAAAAGTTTGTGAAAAGCAACACTAGCACACTATCATATGTATACTGGTATAAGCTAACTGAATATGAAGAGATTGTGTGGTGGAATTTTTCAATAAATGGCCATCAAATTTTGTACTGTGCAATGTGTGAATGCAGCCAAGTGAATGGGGGGGTGGGTACTTGAGGGCTTTTAATTCCTGCTAATCAAAAAGTCTGTGAAAATTACCAATTGCACACTATAATGCAAGGATCCTTATAAAAGAAATGGCCATCAAATTTGGTACTGTGTAAAGTGTGAATGCAGACAATTGAGCGGGGGTTCATACTTGAGGGCTTATAATTCCTGCAAATCAGAAAGTTTGTGAAAAATAACAATTGCACACTATAATATATGTATACTAATATAAGCTCACAGAATATGAAGAGATTGTGTGGTGGAATTTTTCAATAAATGGCCAACAAATTTCGTACAAATTCGTCGTACTGACAGTTGAATGGGGGGGTCATACTTGAGGGCCTGTAATTCCTGCAAATCAAATAATTTGTGAAAAGTAAGAGCTGCGCACTATAATACATTGATCCTAGTATAACTCCACAGAATATGAAGAGATTCTGTTGTGGAAGTTTTAAATAAATGGCCATCAAAGTTGGTACTGTGCAATGTGCAAATGCAGACAATGGAATGGGGGGGTCATGTTTGAGGGCTTCAAACAATCAAGTATCAGCCAAATTCGTTATGCATTTCAATGGCATAGAATTACATCTCAAATTTTTAAAAAATTCCTTATTATAACCAGCACAGCAGATACACAGTATGTGGCTGGGTAGGCCCTGTGTGATACCAATTTGTGCTGCAATGTTACATTAGACTTTTTCACAGGTGTTTCACTCTCTTGCCTGATGCATGGGTACAGCAGTGCTCTTCAGCGTGCACCGTTGAGATTTCCCTGAATGTGGCCTCACAAAATTCTCTTTGGAAAAATTAATACTGCAAACACGGAGCTCTTTTCAGGATACGGGTGGTGTATCAATATCCATGTTGAGCGCAACTAGCCACAGCTACAAGTCCAATATTCCGCAGAGGAATGCGGTGAAAGCTGTAAGTGCACCAGGATACAGCTTTGCTTTCACATCCAGGAAAGCAACAAATGGACCATTTTCGAAATGTTTGCACAAGTTTAACGACCGTCCGACTTTCCAACCGCAGTGTGCAACCGCAGTTACTGTGACCCAAACAGCTGATCGCAACAGTGCGCAGTTTTCTCCGACCTAACCTACGTCAGTAGGTTAGTTCAAGAGCAACTGTGTTTTTTCCGAGCAGCTGAAGCGCTGTAAATTTTTGTAATATAGCGTACAATTAAAGTGGTGTATTATTTTCAGGTAGGACCTCTATTAGGCCGCAAAAATACACTGTTACTTTGGGACCGTTCACAACAGTGTATCGCCTAAATCTCCGCCTAGCACTATGCGCTGGTGCGGCTAACTGGGGGAGAGCAGGGAGCTTTCTACTGCATCTAATGTCCGTAATGGCAATTTGTAGCTCATACAAACCCACTTCAAAAATCGTGAACTATCCCTTTAAGTATCGCACCCTTAGTGATCATCATCAGCATTCTTGAAATGCTCCAAACCGGTTATTTCTTTGATATCTTTTTACAGCGGCTTTTCGAAAGAAGGTGACATCATGATGGAACACCAAGCACTATGCTATTGCGGATAATATGTTCTTATCACGTCAGGACTCAAGTAATTTGATATAATTGTGCTAGAGCCACAATGATGAAGTAGCTGAAATTTTTGTTACTGTTGTTATATAAATTCAATTAATGGCACTGTTTGATTGGTATAGACTGATTAATAAGTTTGCATGCTTGAGGCAAGCGGGAGAGCAGTCTTTCACTGCAGTGAGAAATTCAGCTTTGAAACTTAATTGCCATGAAATATGGATTCAAGCAGAATAGATAAAAACGTTGCAAATTTGGTAAATGTCTTTTTTCAATAAATTCTTCCTTTTTGGAATTTGGACCGTAGCATTTGTGTGATGCATCTCAGAGACCGCTTTTTTCCAGGCACATTGACTGCTGCTGAGGTTCCTGAAAGACGCCTGAGATGTATCACTCGAATGCTAAGGTCCTGCGCATGCATGGTCACACATGGCTATCCAGGCAGGCCGCAGTCGATCCCAGGTGCTTCCTGTCTGCTCACTATATCATATGTAAAACAGTTGCACAATGCACTCCAAGATGTGCTGCAACTCTGGCTGCACTCATTCCGGCCATCAGTACTCCAAATGCCTGATCCCTCTTTTGTTGTGTCAATTGTGGCATCATGACTTTTCACAAATGTGAAGTTTTTAAGCCAGGATTTTTAGAGCCAGGGTTAATGTTTTGCAATGCTTTCAACATTTCTTTGCTTACTCTCCTTTCTGTGGAGCATTTGGGGAGTGGCTCAAATATTGGACTATTGTTGTTGGCACGCGGTCTGCCAACTTACCCATTTGTTAGAATTCACTATTTGTGGGCTAATACTCTACTTCATATATCCTTGTATTTATTTTTTCCTGATTACATTATTTGCACAAAATTTTGTACTTTGTTGCTTGTTGTGTTTTTAATGCCTCTTAGTATACATCAGGCTGAATTTGTACCGTTTTTGCCTCTGTTCAGCGCCTACTGATTGCTGCCTTTATGCAGCCTCCATCATCCGCACGGAGAACAAGCAGCCAGCGGTAGACCTTTGTCAGGAGGTCAGTTTTTTGTGGCTGGTGCACAGCATTCACTGAAATGCAGATTAGAAATGCACTGTTGATGGTCATGTTTGCATGATATCACCTTAGAAGCATAGTCCTAGGCCGCTGGTTCTCAATGTCATCCTGGGCCCCCAAGCAAATGTTGGTTTTAGGTCTAATCATGGTTGCAATTGTGAGATTTGAACAAGCAGTCTATTTGTTTTAATTAGGCGCAATTCCTGTTTACAGCATGTATTTTTGCCCTTGTAAGCCACATTTTGACAGAAATGCCCATGAAGAATAAAAGACCCTTGAACATGTTGTGTTTATTTTTCTCTACTGCAAGCAATTTCAGATACTAAAATTCTTATTCAACTTACACACCGAGTAAATCATTAAGCTGAAATTAAGTTATCAGTGACTAGCTTTGTCTCATCAACAATTTTGGGCGGAGGATCATTTGGCTGCTCACATGATAATTAAAGTAATGTACGATCCACAGTCATATTGTTGTTTGAAATCCAACATTAAAGGGAATGTTTGGATTTTTTAAACATGAAGTCGTATGAAATACTCTTGAGCAGTGTAGCGCATGAGAGGTGATTTTTTTTGTTAATGAGTCTTGTGAGCGGAGTTCTTGCCTCTCGAAGTTTGAAATGAAGTAGGTCCAGCTAGTTGGCTGGGGTCACAAAAATACAACCCCAATTCCGAAATAGTTGGGACAAAGTGTAAATTGTGAATAAAATCAAAATGCAATGACTTTCTAATCACACCAGCCGGTATTTTATTCACAACAGAACAGAGATAACATAGCAAATGTTAAAACTGAGAAATTTTACAATTTTATCCACAAAATGAGCTCATTTCAAATTTGATGGCTGCTACAGATCTCAAAAAAGTTGGGACAGGGGCCTGTTTACCATGGTGTAGCATCCCCTCTTCTTTTTAACACAGAGTGGAGGCGTCTGAGCATTGAGAAGACAAGTTTCTTGAATTTAGCCATTGGAATTTGATCCCACTCTTGTTTAATACTGGCTTCCAGCTGCTGGAGAGTTTCGGGTTATTTGTAACTGAAAGTGTGACCCAATCTCCTGTCAGCTTATTTATCCCTTTCTACTAACCATTTTGATAGCCAAGTACAACCCCAATTCTGAAATAGTTGGGACAAAGTGTAAATTGTGAATAAAATCAAAATGCAATGACTTTCAAATCATACCAGCCAGTATTTTATTCATAATAGAACAGAGATAACATAGTGTGACAGTTGAAGGGTCCTGTCACTAGAAATGTCTCCTAATAAGTACACGCCCTGGCTACCTTACCAATGAGCCTGGCTCTTTGGCGATGTGGTCAGCACGTCTGTCTCTTACCTGGGAATCTGGGGTTCAATTCCCCACCTGGGCCCTCCTTCGGTCTGCTACAATAGCAAATGTTGAAACTGAGAAATTTTAGAATTATATCCACAAAATGTGCTCATTTCAAATTTGATGGCTGCTACAGGTCTCAAAAAAGTTGGGACAGGGGCCTGTTTACCATGGTGTAGCATCCCCTCTTCTTTTTAACACAGAGTGGAGGTGTCTGGGCATTCAGGAGACAAGTTTCTTGAGTTTAGCCATTGGAATTTTTATCCCACTCTTGTTTAATACAGGTTTCCAGCTGCTGGAGAGTTTTGGGTCTCCTTTGACAAACTTTTCGTTTAATTATGTGCCAAATGTTCTCATTTGGTGAAAGATAAGGACTGCAGGCAGGCCAGTTCAGCACACGGACTCTTCTACTATGAAGCCATGCTGTTGTAATAACTTACGTATGTGGTTTTGCATTGTCCTGCTGAAATACACAAGGAGGGGTGGTCTTTCTCCTCTTTAGCCTGGAGGACACAACGCCCACGATTTCCAACAAGAATGTCAAATTTGGACTCGTCTGACCGCAGGACACTTTGCCACTTTGCTACAGTCCAATTTAAATGAGCCTTGGCCCACAGAACATGGCGGCGCTTCTGGATCATGCTCAACAATGGCTTCCTTTTTGCACAATAGAGTTTTAGGTGGCATCTGTGGATGGCACAGTAGACTGTGTTTACCGACAGTGGTTTCTTGAAGTATTCCTGGGCCCATTTAGTAATGTCAATGACATAATCATGCCGGTGAGTGATGCAGTGGCGTCTGAGTGCCGAAGATCACAGGCATCCAGTAAAGGTCTTCGGCCTTGTCCCTTACGCACAGAGATTTTTTCAGTTTCTCTGAATCTTTTGATGATGTTATGCACTGTCGATGATGAGACCTTCAAAGCCTTTGCAATTTGACGTTGAGGAACATTGTTTTTAAAGTATTCCACAATTTTTTTATACAAGCCTTCATGGGTTGGAGAGCCTCTGGCCATCTTTACTTCTGAGAGACTCAGCCTCTCTAAGACATCCCTTTAATAGCCAATCATGTTACACACCTAATGCCAGTTAACTTATTTACTTGCTAAATGTTCTTTGAGCTGATTCTCTGATATATTAATTGCTTTTTCAGCCCTTTGTTTCCCGTTTCCCAACTTTTTTGAGACGTGTTGCAGCCAGAAAATTTGAAATAAGCTCACATTGTGGATGAAAATGTAAAATGTCTCAGTTTCAACATTGAAAATGTTATCTATGTTCTATTGCAAACAACATACTGGCTCGTGATCTGAAAGTCGTATTTTGATTTTATTCACAATTTATACTTCGTCCCAACTATTTCGGAATTGGGGTTGTAAATAAAGCACGACTCCCTTATCCTCCCCTTACACATCAAGCATCGATTTTACATGATAATGGCAAAATGAATGAGACCAAATGCGAAATGAATGAGAAATTACTTTGAACATGCCCGCAGTTTTAGGCATCACAACAAAAACGAGATCAAAATTATAGTTTTATGCAATACTTGATCCTGAGGTCAAAATGACCCAAACACCACTGATGCTGACAACATGTCGACAGAACATAAAATAATCTTTTTTTTTTTAGTTAAATTCATGTGTTACCTGTAAAGTTAGGGGAAAAAAAATCTAGCCGAAAAAAGTATGCTTACCATGTTTTTAGAGACACTGAACATTTAGTTGGGTCAAATTGACCCTGAACAGAATTGGAGGGTTAAATGAGCCTTGGCCCACAGAACATGGCAGTGCTTCTGGATCATGCTCAACAATGGCTTCCTTTTTGCATGATAGAGTTTTAGGTGGCATCTGTGGATGGCACGGCAGACTGTGTTTACTGACTGTGGTTTCTTGAAGTATTCCTGGGCCCACTTAGTAATGTCAATGACAGAATCATGCCGGTGAGTGATGCAGTGGCGTCTGAGGGCCCGAAGATCACGGGCATCCAGTAAAGGTCTTCGGCCTTGTCCCTTACGCACAGAGATTTTTTCAGTTTCTCTGAATCTTTTGATGATGTTATGCACTGTCGATGATGAGACCTTCAAAGCCTTTGCAATTTGACGTTGAGGTACATTGTTTTTAAAGTATTCCACAATTTTTTTATGCAAGCCTTCACAGGTTGGAGAGCCTCTGGCCATCTTTACTTCTGAGAGACTCGGCCTCTCTAAGACATCCTTTTTATAGCCAATCATGTTACACACGTGATGCCAGTTAACTTAATCACTTGCTAAACGTTCTTTCAGCTGATTTTCTTTTATATTAATTGCCTTTTCAGCCCTTTTTTGCCTGTGTCCCAACTTTTTTGAGACCTGTTGCAGCCAGAAAATTTGAAATAAGCTCATATTGTGGATAAAAATGTAAAATGTCTCAGTTTCAACATTTGAAATGTTATCTATGTTTTATTGTAAATACCATATTGGCTCATGTGATCTGAATGTCATTGCATTTTGATTTTATTCACAATTTACACTTGTTCGCAACTATTTCGGAATTGGGGTTGTAAAAAGTTTTGCTTCCCAAAACAACATGTGAAGGGTGCAAGGGAAAAACGGGGAATGTCAGTTTTTACGGATTTTTAGATATTGCTGCCTGCATATAGTACATCATCGTATGCTTTCTTCTGTATTAATCATGAAATGTAAGAACAAGGAGAGTCAGTTGTAATGAGGGAGTAAGTGTGGCCTCTTGCCCAGTGAAAACTCAAGCACTTAGGGAAGTCGTCTCCTCCAAAGACCACTCTTGTTTGATGCAGTACCGCGAGAGCTGGAATGGCCCATTCACCAGTGCTGTCATGACAAAACCTTTCGGGAAAAACCTTGCAGGCATCACTTCAGCCCTCCAACAGGGCCCCTATGCCCATCTCAGCAGCAAAGTTCAAAGACCTGCAGGAGCTCAAACGTTTCTGTACACAGGACGCATGGGACTTTTATGGCCATCTTCCATATCAAGGATGGCCAGATACTAATCCACAAAATGACTACTCTGACATTGATGATGAAGAGAAGGATGAATCTTGAATTCTTTTATTTACTGCTTTATTGCTGTTTGAATGATGTGTGTGTGAATAAGTGAATAACTCACACTTTACAATCACATTGAACTATTTTTCTCTCTCTCGATATCACTGTGCACGGCTATCAGCTATATCAAAGATAACATGGATGTCGACTGCCATGACCTGAGAGAGCTATACACAGAGAGACAGGTTTATTGTCAGACAAGAAAATACAGAAAAAATGGTGCGGATTCATGTCGACTGAACAACCAAGACCACTTACGTATAATAAGAAATGATAATGAAGAAGTGAATGCTTATTGCCTACATTGATATACTGATATTGCATCATAAGGATGGCAATAACAAAAGTCCAAAACTTCCGCTGACTTCAGAGCATTCATTTTCGCCGTCCTTACAATTGTCACTAAGCTGTGCATCGTGCCTAAACAACGCCTTTCAGCAGTAACTACATTCAGAATGTAGAACGGACTCTCGTGGCTTATTGCTTAATGAGCCCAACTATGCAAATCTGTGCTGTTTCATGAGCCACACGAGCGCGGAACTTCCAAAGAAATGGATATTTTACCTCATCATTTATGTGCGGAAGAAAACACTTCATAGTTTAGTGGGGCAATGTAGAACAATGCTATTGAAAATGAATTGGACTGTCGTCGGCTCGACCAATTATTCTAAGCAACTGTTGCTAATCGGGAAAATTAAACTGTGAGAGGTTTAGGTTATTTAGCACTGAAAGGTGAAGGTTCCGAAGGCCTTTGTTACTGTGGATGGACCGCTACTGATTACAAGATATAACTGATTATGTCTGCATTTGGATGACTGATGATATGTAGCCTAATTGCTGTAGTAGTGTGTACAGTTATATTCTTCTTATAAACAGAATATGCCCTAATAGGATATATACGACTGTATAATTAGTCATCACCATCATCATTAGTCATCAAATTTTCTGCAACCAAAATACCCTCACAACTAATAATGAATTCTTTGATTATCTTATAAGAGTCAGCCATTACACTTACTCTGAAGACAGCTGTCCATCAGGTCCTGCTGGCCTGGGACGCTTCTTCCAGCATATTTTTGGAATGTGGAAAAAGGTCAGCAAGACATCAGCATTCAAGATTGCGGGAAAGTCTTAATGGCAAGTGATGCACACACAGGCAGGTGCACCGGCCTCGTCTAATACTGAGAGATCTTGCATTGGTGGCATGACAAGTTCCCATTTGTGGCAGCAGTAGCTTTCCTCCTTCGGCATTATCTGACACTTTGAACAAGTGCAGCACTACTTTTCGTTGACTCTGTCTCTCCTAGCTGCTGTCGTGGGCTCATCTTCACCTCGGACAGCTTCTCTCTCTTTCTCTCTCTCTCTACCCTATCTTTGTCCATCTGATGAAGTTCGGCATCGGTAAACTCAGGTTCATAACATTATCCCTTTGACGCTGTGGTAAAGGGAATGTCATCGTCGCTTTCATAGTCAGACTTTTTTTTTAAAATCAATTACAGGAACAAGTGAGACCGTCAAGCAGCTGATAGCCTGTGCGACGCGCAGCGTGCAGTGATACCGAGGGATAGAAAAATAGCGCTAAGTGATTGTGAAGTGTGAGTTATTCACTGACCATGGTTTTGTGACTGAAATATATTACTCTTTTAAAAATATGTTGTGAGCTGCTGGATAGCTCACTTGGTTAAAGCATCGCATTGCGAAGCAGAAGTGACTATCACGGCGTGGTTCGAGCCCTGGTCGTACCAACCGGCAGTGGTCGGCAGCTTTTTCAGAAGTAGCGCGCAATTGGCCAATGTACTACAGGGATGCAGATTGGGAAGGCTCTGCCAGGAAGAGTAATATAAGTTGCTTTGTTCGTTCCTTGGGCACCTCCTGTTGGAAGATTCTAAGCTTGTTCATGTTTGGGTATCCTCCGCCCTCGTTCTGAACTTACGAGGATTCGACCAATGAGTGTATAAGAAGCGGTGGCTGACAGGCGCGTGCT